AGATAAAACTGGAGTATCCGTAGCATCGTTAACGGCAAGTCTTGATATGCTGTTGTCGCGTTTTGCTGTCATATGCAGATTGCAGAAGAATGAAAAATTGAAAAAGAAATCGGTCGAGAATATTCTTGAGCTGAAGGATATGGTAAAAACTTTGCTGAAAGCTTTTTACTCTCACACAAAAGGACAAAAGCCTGAGAAAATAATTTTTTTCAGAGATGGCGTTAGTGATACCCAGTTTCAAGACATTAAGAAAAAAGAAGTAAATGCTATTCGAGAAGCTTGCGTCGAAATACAAGAGGGGTATCAACCAGCGATTACGTTCATCACAGTTCAAAAACGACATCATGTCCGTTTCAGGCCAGAAGATTTCAATGATGGAGTCGGAAGGGAAGGAAATGTACCACCTGGAACTGTTGTGGATACTGGCATTGTCCATCCAGTGCATTCTGACTTTTTCCTTTGCAGTCATCAAGGATTGAAAGGTAAGCCTTTCCTCTTTAAATGATGGAACATATAATTTATTTTTATCCTTATGTTGTTCACGTCCACATTTTAAGCACATGCTCATAGCTGTAGAAGAGAAAACTACACCACGGGAGAAACTTTTCACTACAAATTCTCGTTCTCCTACATAAGTAATTTAAAATTATAGAAAAAGTGAGTTCAGACAAACCTAGAGTAAACCATGAAGTTTACAGTACCAGAAATAAATTTTTAAAATATCAAAATAGAAACAAATTAAGAGATAATAACTTAGGATCACGCAATAAAGAAGTTTTCTTCCAATAATTTGCTTGTCTTTTGTTATTTTAAATTTTTTTTTATTCAGAAATTTAAACTTTAATGCATACTCTAGGTTTGCCTGGACTCAATTTTTTTGTGCTTTAAATTTTGAATTAATTATAAAGAGGAAACAGAATTTGCGATTGAAAGTTTATCCCGTGGTTTAGCCAAAAAAATACAGAGAGAATATATAATCTTTATACACTTTGGTATAGCGTCCTTTTAATGTGGAAAAATTTTTTGTAGTGATAATGAACTGACGTTTGCTGTATATGAATCAAGATGCTGTATATGAATCACCTTCTTACTTACCGTTGTCGTCAGAACATTGCTATAACCGATATATATCAGTTGGTATTAACTTGATTATTCAAAAAAATATAATTTAAAACTATTATTTAATTTCGTCTTGAAAGTTGAATCAGTTTGGAGTGCTTTTCCCGATCTTCGTGCTACGGAACTCGTTCACTTTTATAATTATAATACATATTTTTCCAAATCTTTTTTTGTAGGTACCAGCAAACCAGCCCATTACACAGTGCTAGAAGATGACAATAAATTCACAGCAGATGATCTTCAAAAGCTGACTTATTGTTCGTGCAATATTTCTTTTCGTTGCTCCAAAACTTTATCAATTCCGGTGCCCGTTCATTACGCAGATTTGGCAGCTTATAGAACCCGGTCACGATTATCAACATTGTCTGAAGATTTAAAAAAAAGGCAAGCAAAAAGTGGAAAAATTCTGAAGGAATTTTTGGATGCAACTGAGCTCTCAGGCTCAATAAAAAATTCGATGTATTTCGTGTGAAAATAATCGAAGAAATTAAATATTAATATCTATTTTTGTAATAAGTTATGTGATATGTGTAAACACTCTTTGTGTATAATTTACTTTTTGTAATTTATTTTTATGCAAAATTCATACACAGTATTTTTTTATTATTTTTGGTGCATAATTTATGCGTTGAAATTTGTTTTTGAGTATAATTTATTTGTTTTAATTTATTTTTGTATATAATTTATGTGTTTTAATTTGTTGTAATAAAGTATTTTTTGTTTTGTATTAAATAATTCAATAAAAAGTTTTATACTTTTGTATTTTGTGGAGTATTTAATAATTCGCGATTGCAATCTAATTTTAGAGTTAGTCATTTCAAATTACGTAGATTAAATTGGTGCAAAAACTTGTATACCTGAAATTTCAAAACATTTTCGACCATTAGTAAATTAAATAAAAAAAATATTACAATAAATAATAATGTAATAAATAATATTTCATATAGATTTATATATCTTAGGATAAACAAGTTTTATAATTGTGTAAGAAATTTTTGATTTTTGATATATACAGGGTGATTCTAAAAAGATGGTCAAAAATTTAGGAAGTGATAGTACACACCCAAGCAAACAATTTTCATCAAAGAATGCTAGGTCGAAAACAAAACGCAAAGGTGCTGGCTCGTTTGGAAAGTTATTTGATGCAAACGTCTTATGTATGAGACTCCCATTGAATCTGCAGAAGAACTTGTCGCCAAGCTTTCGTCCGCTGCAGGGAAAGCTCATGATATGCCTGGTGTGTTTCAGAATGTTCGCCTATCTTTTCTTCGCCGTTGTACTGCGTGCATAGTCGCTGCCGGCCACTGTTTTGAACACTTATTGTAATTACATGCCATTAAATTTGCTTTTATAACTTAACTTCATCGTTCTTTGTGTGTCTTTGCATCATATAAGAACATAAAACTTTGACGCCTTCTAGCGGTTTTGCGTTTTGTTTTTGACCATGCATTCTTTGATGAAAATTGTTTACTTGGGTGTGTACTATCACTTCCTAAAATTTTGCCCATCTTTTTAGACTCACCCTGTATATATGGTGAAATAAGAAACTAGTTAAATTAATGGGCCTATATTTTCGACCACTCCTTGCTTGAGCCATTGGAACAATATTTTCTTGATTGTAGCTACCTCAGATATTTTGAGGGTTCAAAATCCGAAACCGTCGTTATATAGGCGTCAAAATAGCTTAGAATATCGTCTGCACTAATTAATGACCATATGTAAGAAGTGTACTCGAATTATTAAAGGGTTGAATCCTGGTACGTGAAAATCGGATTGATCAATTCGAGAAAAAGTTTTTTAATGCGTTCGCTTTTTTGCGTACTGTACTGTTAGCTGATTTCTGAATAGGAAATGGGCTGACTTATTTATTTCACACAATTCGTTGCAATGTCCATGAACAGATAGCGAAGCTAACTGAAATATAT